TTTCCAACTGAAAACTAATTTGCACACGTCACGAATTTAACTCAAACAACTTCATTTTTACTGCACTGAATCTTTTGGTGAGAAGATTGAGTTTCAAAACTCAATTCAAGATGGAGTTTTTGGGGCCGTTTTACGGTCCTAAAAAATCCCTGAAAAAAAACCGCATATGTAGATTTTAGAGAGGGTGCAGCACAATGTCACAAACTTCATTCTCGGCAGAAGACAATCTCGACTTGCAAAATGCTTTTGGAATTTTCAAACAATAAGTAAATTATATGGCATTTCAGTATATAAGATGACAAAAATTTCATGCAAGATGAAAGAAGATTTCCTGCAAAGTTCTTTTTTGTTAAAAATTTACAGGCAGCAGCGCTGCCGCGGGCATTTTCCAGTACTCGAGCTGGCTGACCCCGGGTTTGTCTGGAATTAGGGATGGGTGAAGGAAAAAGAGATTGCTTACTCAAAAATACTTTCTTCAATAACGTCAGTTCTCTATTAACAATGTCTTCTTTATTTTTGGTCTTTTCTTCCTCATCCCTAAAATTAGATATACTTCAATACCAAATGCTACACAATACATGATTTCAGTTACAGACTAAGTTTTGATCTAGGCAAGCAGAACAAAATCCATCACCACAGCTAGAAAGAGCATGTTAAAATTAGTAAACCGGCAAAGTTTGGCCGCGAAATGTTGTAAAATGAGGAAAATATAGCCCTATGAAATTTGCAAATTTTGTACAGTTTTAAGTTGTATATTACCGTACGGAAAAATGCACCACTTTCGGCCCAAAAGTGGTGCATTAATTTTCCCGCGCGTAATACAAATTAAATACAAAATTTGCAAATTTCGCAGGGCTATATTTTCCGCATTTTACAATATTTCGCAACCAAACTTTGCAATTTTACTAATTTTAACATGCTCTTTCTAGCCGTGGTGATGGATTTTGTTCTTCTTGCCTAGATCAAAATTTAGGCGTAAAAAAAAACCCTGTGGTTCCGGTTCCCGACCGACCCTATTTTTTTCTGCCGACCCTATTATTTTTTCAACGCGATTGACCGTGCGACCCTATTTTCTCCAGGTGGTTGCGGGCTGCTCATAAAGCGTGCCAAAATGGCGTCTGTTGTCACACTAATTATTGAACCAAATTGCCTAAATTCGTCCATAGGAAATACGCATCTCTAGTTAACATTGATGTCGGCACTCTACTGAAAATCGCCTTAGTCTGTAGATGGAAGCATCTATTTGACACGTTTCAAAAATCTGCTAAAATAATTTGACACATTTCAATTTCAAGTATACCGCTGTTCGTCCGTCGATTTTCCGTCGTCAGCCTCAGCACCAGTCTTAAACATTTCACAATCTGGCCACGTTACCACGGCAGCTTTAAGAACAGCAAGTGCTTTTACATAATCCCCCAAGACTAGCTGTCTTTTGACATTCATCAAGGCACTAAATAAAAACAACAACAAAGAGTGATACTGATACTGTGTACAGGGTGTGGTTGTCCATTCAACCGAGCTGCGGCTATAAGGCCATCCAAACATACTGGGGGAAAAAGATTTATCGATAATCGAAATCGGCATAAGAGCCAAATGCTGTTGAAAAAGTAGCCAAAATCTACCAAACGAGGCCTTTGTTCAAAAAAGCCACAAAGAAACCAAATACGGACTGCTGCGAATACAGTGAGTGGTTGTAGTTTACCAGCTGTATAATTGGCTGTATTTCATGAATCCTGATTGGCTACAATTTCAACCAGGTTTTTTTCTGACAGTGTGAGTAGAAGTAAACATTTGATCAACCTGCAACCGAATCAATGCTACATTTATTTCAAAATAATCAATAAATTTTCACTAAATTCTT